CTTGCCAAAGTTGTAAAGTTCATTTTTCAACATAACGTTTTGTACATCTCATTTTTACAATTGGTCCACCTGTATCTCAATTTAAACAATTTGTTTTTTCCCTTCCCCTCCACAAATTATACCAACATCAAATACAGTGAAAACGGGTTATACCGTGGGAGAGGGACATTCAAACCAACAAAGAAATACCTTATAAATATGTTAGAAACAATAGCAAGAAAGGAAAAACCATTTGAGTACTTATCTTGGGGTTGATTTCGCCTAACATCAACTTATCTGACTGTTTCTGCTTGTCTCAGACATATACTAGTTATTGCAAATAAGGGAAACCATGGGACCTATGTTTCTTTGGGCCTGGCTTACTTCACTTAATATAACTTTTTCCAAGTCTTTCCATTTCCTAAGAAATGGGGCAATGTCATTCTTTCTAATGGAGGCATATAATTCCATTGTGTATATATACCACATTTTCTCAATCCATTCCTCTACTGAGGGGCATCTGGGTTGGTTCCATATCTTAGCTATGGTAAATAATACTGCAAGAAACATAGTTGTGCTGGTAGCTTTAGTATGGTCTTGTTTGTGAACATTTGGGTAAATGCCCAAAAGTGGGATTGCTGGGTCATAGGGGAGCTCTATGTGGAGTCTTTTGAGGAACCTCCATACTGCTTTCAAAAGTGGTTGAACAAGGTTACACTCCCACCAACAATGAAGTAAGGTCCCTTTCTGTCCACATCCCCTCCAGCATCTGTTGTTATTAGAGTTCTTGATTATAGCCATTCTAACTGGGGTGAGGTGGTCTCTCAGTGTTGTTTTTATTTGCATTTCATTTATCGCTAGAGATGTTAAGCATTTCTTCATGTGTCTATTGGCCATCCTTCTTTCTTCTTCAGAGAAGTTTCTCTTAAAGTCTGTAGCCCACTTATTTATTGAGCAGCTGTTCTTTGAGGATTTTTTGTTGAGGGATTTAATTTTTTGAGTTCAGGTATATTTTAGATATGAGACCTTTGTCCCTTGTATGGCTAGTGAAGATCTTCTCCCAATCCATGGGCTCTCTATTGATCTTGCTAGCTATGTCCTTTGCCATGCAGAAGTTCTGCAATTTCATTCAATCCCATTTGTTCATCCTTTCTTTGATTTGTTGTGTTTCTGGGTCTCTATTAAGAAAATTTTGGCCTGTGCCAAGGTTACCTAGGGTTTCTTCTATTCCATCCTGTAATGTTTTCAGCGTGTCTGCTTTGACTTCAAGGTCTTTGATCCATTTGGAGTTGATTCTGGTGCAGGGTGATATATAAGAATCTAGCTTTAGTTTTCTACAAGTAGTTAACCAATTTTGCTAGCACCATTTACTGAAAAGGCTGTGTTTTTTTCATTCTATTTTTTTAGCTCCCTTATTGAAAATTAGATGGCTATATGTCTATGTGTTCATTTCTGGGTTTTCAATCCTATTCCATTGGTCCTGAGGTCTGTTCTTGTGCCAATTCTAAGCTGTTTTGATTACTATGGCTTTGTAGTAGAGATTGAAATTTGGTGTTGATATTCTTCCAGCATTGTTCTTTTTGTTAAGGATTGTTTATGCTATTCGGGTTCTTTTATTGTTCCATATGAATTTTTGGATTGCCTCTTCTATTTCCTTGAAGAATGAGGTTGGAATATTGATAGGTATCGTATTGAATTTGTAGATAGCCTTCAGAAATATATTTTCAGGATGTTGATCCTTCCAATCCAAGAGCATGGGAAGTTTTTCCACTTTCTAAATTCTGTTTTGATTTCCTTTTTCAGGTTTTTAAAGTTTTCATCAAAGAAGTCCTTCACTTCTTTGGTTAAGTTAACTCTTAGGTATTTTATTTTTTTGTGGGGCTATTATGAATGGAGTTGCTTTCTTGATTTCAGCCATGCTTTTCTCATTTTTTGGCATACAGAAAAGCCATTGATTTTTGAGGGTTAATTTTATACCCTGCTTCTTTGCCAAAGTTTTAAATCAGCTTGATTAATTTGGGAGTGGAGTCCATGGGATTCTTTAAATACAAGATCATGTCATCTGCAAAGAGGGAGAGTTTTACTTCATCTTTTCCTATTTGGATCCTTTTTATGTTTGCATCTTGTCTTATTGCTACTAAATTGAAAAGAAGTGGAGAGAGTGGACATCCTTGTCTCGTTCCTGAGTTAAGAGGAAATGGTGTTAGTTTTTCACCATTAAGTATAATGGTGGCAAATATTTGTCATATACAGTCTTTATTGTATTGAGGAATGTTCCCTGGATTCCTCATTTTTCCAGAACCTTCATCATAAAGGGGTGTTGGATCTTGTCAGATGCTTTTTCTGCATCTATTGAGACAATCATGTGGTTCTTATCCTTGCTCTTGTTGATGTGATGAATTATATTAATTGATTTGCATATTTTGAACCAGCTTTGCATCCCTGAAATGAATCCTGTTTGATCGTAGTGTATGATTTTGGGGGATGAATTGTTGAAGTCGATTAGCCAAAATTTTGTTGAGAAGTTTTGCATTAATGTTCGTCAAAGAAATGGGTCTATAGTTCTCTTTCTTTGATGAGTCCCTGCCTGGTTTTGGGATGAGGGTTATGATGGCTTCATAGAATGAGTTTGGTAGTGAACTTTCTCTTTCAATTTTATTGAAGAGTTGGAGGAGCATTGGTGTGAGCTCTGCTTTGAAGACCTTGTAGAATTCCATTGTAAACCCATCTGGTCCTGGGATTTTCTTAGATGGGAAGTGTCTTATTGCTTTTTCTATTTCAATGCTTGATATGGGCCTGTTAAGCTGGTTTAACTCATCTTGGTTTAGTTTTAGCATGTCAACATTTGCTAGGAAAAGGTCCATTTCTGCCAAGCTCTCAAACTTATTAGCATAAAGGTTTGAGAAGTATTCCCTCATAATATTCTGAATCTTGTTGTTTCTGTGGTGATGTTTCCATTCTCATCTCTGAGTTTGTTCATTTGGGTGTGTTCTCTTCTTTTTCTGATAAGATTTGCTAAGGGTCTGTCAATTTTGTTAATTGTTCAAAGAACCAACTCTTTTGTTGATTTTTTTCTATTTTTTGGATTTTAATTCGTTTGATTCTGATTTAATTTTAATGATTTCTTTCCTTCTACTGGATTGTGGTTTATCTTGCTACTCTTTTTCAAGGTAGTTCACATGGAGGCTTGGTAAGCCTTTCTGAGCCACAGCAAAATGTACTTGTGGCTTCTAGTATCTCTGGTGCATATCTGAACTTTGCTTCTATATAGATAACTATAGATTATTAGAAACCACAAAAATAAACAAAGGTATTTTACTTGAGTCTCTGTGAACATAACAGCATTTGGATTAACCTAACTAAACTAGGACTTCCTGATCTGATGAAATCTCTAGGAAGAGGGTAAAGACCCCCTGAGATGTTAAGCATAAGAATCACCTAAATTAAAATGTCATTTAGAACCAAGAGCTGTTGATTCACACCTTGTAATTCTAGCTAATCAGGAGGTTGTGATCTAGAGGACTGCTGTTCAAAGCCAGCCTTGTGCAGAAATGTCTTTGAGACTTTATCTCTAAAATTATAAGCAAAAAGTTAGGCTTGAGGCATAGCTCAAGTGATTGAGCACCAGTCAAGAAAGTAAGCTAAATAAGTTTGCAGGCCTCGAGTTTGAATCACAGTACAGCAAAAACCAACAAGCAAAAAATTCCCCCATCATTTAGAAAGGAAATATTTCTATTTGAGTTATTTAATCTAAGACTTTTAGATTCTACATGCATGGTATCTGAGAATTTGGGAACTAGATTAATTGGTTCATTAGTTTGTCATTGGTGTCCAGACCTCTGCTTTCCTTGGAACAATGACCCTGATTTTCCTGTTTGTGTCAACTGCATTTGACATCAGGGACACAATGGACAGTGAGAAGATGCTGCCAAATTTTACATGACTAATGAGCCACGGGAGAATCTAGGTACTGTTTCCAAAAGATTTTGATCAGAATTTGTTTTTTTAGAGCAAATGAAATCCTATATAAAATACAAAGATGACAGAGATAAAAACTCTCTGCTTTTCAAATTTGAGCAGAGTGCTTGGGGGTATGGAAGGAATATTGGCCTTAGAAATGAAATGTTTGGTTTTGAGTCTTGTCTTTACTGTAACTAGCTTCCTCACCTTTAGCAAGTCACTTGGTGTCTCTGAAGTCAGTCATGTAAGAAATAGGACAATAGCCCAAGGCATAGTCATTGTAAGGATGGAAGCAATTTGTATGATATGATGCATACAAAAGTTATTTTTATTTTCCATTAGTAAACCCCTTCAAGTTAAATTCTTTTTTTTCTAGGCCAGAAATAACTATAACTTCACAGAAAATGTGCTGCTTTAATAGCTGGAGTACAGTCTCAAAATAGTGACATATGCCTTTTTAGTTTAGATAAGCAACATCTGCTCTGTAGTGTTTTCCTTTTGGCCTTTTAGAAAAAGGATGTATAGTTTCAACATGAATTTTAGCCAGTTACACTTGAAAATAGCCTGTCCCAATGAACTGAAGTAACTGACAACATTATCATGGGTTCCATAATTGGACTTATATCACTGAAAGATCTGTTCTATCATTTAGGAAAGACTTGTATTTATTAATGATTACATTCATAGCAAACACATGTCCAAATCATTCCTTAAGTCATTTCAAATCATTACTGTTCACTGTTTAATTTACTGGCTTCATTTTAACTGATAGATCACTCCTTTACCTTCAAGAATTTAATGGGCTTTTTTCTCTACTAAGAGATGTCTCCTCAGCTATCATAGTTTGGCATAAAATATGCAAACTCTGATCTTAATTTATTAAAGGCTTTCATTTGTGGCCCTTTCCAAAATGAAAGTTGACAGAAGTACTTCTGCTGTTAATAAACTCAGAATTTTTAGCTCTACCCTGAGCTTGATACTCTTCTGTTTTCAGGCACCAGGAGCAAGTGTGCTCACATGTGGTGTAACCTGTTCTGTTGTTCTCTGTTTTTTTCTCACAGCAACACCCTTGAGCTCATTGAAGCAACCTCGAGTGGACACTGCTCCCGTGGTCGCATCTCCCTATCAAAGAAGAGACTCAGACAGATACTGTGGGCTCTGCGCAGCCTGGTTCAACAACCCCCTGATGGCCCAGCAACACTATGATGGCAAGAAACACAAAAAAAATGCAGCAAGAGTTGCTTTGCTAGAACAGCTTGGAACAACCCTGGATATGGGGGAACTAAGAGGTAAGATAAATGTCCTAATTTCTGCCAGAAAACTGAGCTTTCCTAGAAAGGAGTTTTCACAAAGTGGGGTGAGTTTTCTTATATTTTGTTTTATAAAGAAATTAAGAGTTTCACCTAAAAACAATGGAAAGGGATTGAAATGAGCAGCTAGCTAGCTGTAGTCTATTTTTGTGATGTTTCAGAGTGTTCATTTCTGTATCTTTATTCAGTGTTCTTCAAATCAGACATACCCATCTATGATTCTTTTCTTTTTGTTTATTCATAAACACTTTCTTTAATAAATGCTTCTGTAGATAATCATCATAAATTGTTACTGTAAAGCCCGATGGTTATTTCAATCTTATGTGCTTTTATGAATTCAGTCAAAACAAAGCAAATGTGACTAGATGGTACAATGTAGCCAACACCTTCCCAGACAAGCTTTTCCTCTGACAGTCTTCCTTTATTAAAAAAAAAAAAAAAGGAAAACATTTATCAGTTCAAGCTTGTAGAATATCACTGAAACTGTTGAGGCCTGGAAACCATAGGGTCATAATCTTGTAAATGTTCTGTGAATGCCATCAATGATCATTTAAGCATTTATTTATTACCTATATATTTTTCAGTTTTTTTCTTTTGGTGGCACTGGGGATTAAATTTAGGGCTTGATGTTTGTTAGGAGTTGTGCTACTGCTTGAGCCATGCCTCCAGCCCATTTTGCTCTGGTTATTTTTTCAAATAAGCTCATATTTTTATGCCTGGGCTGGCCTACACTATTCCTATTTGCACTGTACATTATAGATAGCATGCAGGCATATAACACCATACCTAGTGGTTGGTTGAGGTGGGGTCTCCAGAAAGTATTTTTAGTATTTAGTATTTATGCTGCTCACCTACAGAAGCATTTAGTAAAGAAAATGTTTATGAATAAAGCAAAAAGAAAAGAGTCATAGATGGGTGAGTCTGATTTGAAGAACAGCGAATAAAGATACAGAAATGATCACTCTGAAATATCACAACAATAGACTATAGCTAGCTAGCTGCTCACTTTCAATCCCCTTCCATTGCTTTTAGGTGAACCTCTTATTTCCTTAGTAAGCAAACTGGCCTAGAACCTCAATCTTCCCAACCTCCATTTTTTTTGAGTAGCTAAGATTATAATTATGAGCCATCGGCACCAAGTACCTAATCATTATTGTTTGTCACAGATCCATATTAGCTTTGTAAAGGCATAATAAAATTGCTTACTCTATTTTACAAAGTATTTTTTCAGAAAAATCATTCTGTAGAAGGTGATGTTGATCCTAGAACTCATATTTGGTATCTAAAACTATTAGATATGCTTTTATGGATTGGCCAGGGAACATTATTCATAACAGTCATAAGGTATAAATGGCAAAATTTATGAGTCAATTTTGTGGATGCATCATGAAGAACCTACAGTTCTTACTACCTTAATCAGGATGTGGACCTCTGAGAGGGATAATTAGGACAGGAAATGTCCTGGGATGTTTCTTAACCAAAAGAAAAATTACGTTGTATGAACTGAGACACATCATCTCTGATTATGTTGACTGGAAAGTCTTTATGCCTGAAAAGGATATGAATTTGAACTAGAAATGTGGGTAGGTGACATGTTATCTGGTGATACATTATATGTGATTAGACTCATATACGTATATACCAAGAGGCAGGAAACAGAAGCTGTAGAGTTAATAAATGTCACCATGAAAGGATCCCCTGCTGCCATGTAGATTTAAGATTAGGCATACATTATGATGGAACTTAATTAAAGACTTCTTCCTAGATAGTGGCTTCCGGCAGATAAGAAAATGTTTTATTTTGTGTATGTTTTCTTATCTTAGAGAAGTAACATGAGGCTAAATATTTTAGTATGTCAGATAATTTCATTGTAGGTTTTGATTTGTTTGCACTATTGCTTTTTGCTAGGGAATTTCTTATGTTTTCAATCTATGTCTTGTTAAAAACTCGAGGATGAGTTTCTCCATAGCTGAAGGCCACTCTGCAACTCAGCTGTTGCTGGCAGATAACAATAGGTTCCATGGCTCCTGCACGCACGGCTCTGGAGGAGAAAAATGGGGCTTTATTTATGTTTGGTGCCAGATATTATGACTTGAAGAAGAATTATTCCTACAGCACATCCTTCTTGTCTATTTTGAATTATCCATGCTGCATCTTTTATGTACAACCACATCTTAATGACTTGGGCGTCTAAATTCTGCAACATTTGAGCAGCTTGTCTTTTATATAGAAGACAAAGAAGCTGCTCTTTGACTTGATAGCTCAATGTGACTCTGAGTCAGTATCACCTGGAATGTGATTAGCATTGAGTGCAGTGTCCTTGAATCCAACCTTTCCACCCACCCTTATATATTTATTCAAATATTTAATATTGTAGAAGCTTGAACGGTAAGGCAGCCATGGTAACCTGGAACAAGTTTTTAAGCACACTCATACATACATACACAGGCACACACCTGTACATTTCTGGAATGCTTCTAAAATATGATCAATTAACAAAAGCAAAAGTGCTGATGAGTAAACCCAGGCATATCCATAACTTTCTCAAAATGATCCTAGGTAAACGGAGAATGATGCTGGTGTGGCACAGGAGGCCAGGCTGTTTCTCGTCTCGCAGTCTATCTCGCATTTTTAAGTACTACTTTCTTTATTTATTACTATGATTTTCCTCAGTTCCTGTTTTTTCCTACTTTCCCTATAGATTGTTAGCAACTTGAAAGCAGACATCTATGTCCATTTTGCTTACTGGGGTGAGTGTTCCAAACATCTAAAATAGTGGTGAACACATACTGCTTACTCAATAATTGCTAGATTAATAAACAGAAAAAGCCAAAAGAGAAAAATCACTTAAAAGAGAAAAATTATCCTAGAAACCTTACAATCACTTCTGTTTCTCAAAGGTCCCTCACTGAATAATTTCACCAAAAATTACTTATGATTCTTTTCTTCTATTTTACATATAGTGAAATGCATAAATGTTACGTATTATATTTTGATGAGGTTTGCCAAGTCTACCTCACATTTCACATAATCTAAGCAACTTTATTTTAATGTTGTTGTTTCCCATCATGGGGCTTGAACTCAAAGCCTTTGTACTGTCCCTGATGTTTTTTGGTTTTTCTCAAAGTAGTGCTCTACTTCGTTAGTAACAGCTTCAGTTTTGGCTTTTGGGTGGTTAATTGGAGATAAGAGTCTCATGTACTTCCCCATCCTGGTTGCCTTTGAACCAGGACCTTCAGGTCTCTGCCTCCTAAGTAACTAGGCTTATAGGCATAATCCACTAGCACCTACTTATATACAACTTTTACCGCATGTGACTTTTCCTGGTCAGTCCCAATTCTCAGATCCAGGAGACTGTTTATCTGAATTTTTTAAAAAAGCAAACATTAGTTTTGTTTTAAAAGTTTCACATCAATTAAATAAGAAAGAATGTGTGTATGTGTTTCTAGTTTCATTTAAAATTTACCTATTCATAGTTTATAAAGCAGTGTGTTCATTCAGCAATAGTCTGTTAACAGAAAGCCAACCATTTGCCTATCCATCCTCTTCTTGAGGATACATTTTGAATACAGTTTCCTTGAACGTTTTTCTTCAACTTTTATAAACGTTTATTTTTGTTGACATAGGACTTATTTCTCCCAGCAAATATCTAGAAGTAGAATTGATAGATGACAAGCTGTGTGTACTCTTAAATATATAAGGAATGGTTCATATACAAGCTAACTGTATAATTTTGCATATTCAAAGCAACAGAAGAATTCTGCATCCTCACTGGCATGTTTTTGGACAGTTTTAAAAATTTAACCCTTTTAGTTGGCACAGGAAGATATTTAATATGGATTGAGTTAATTAGGTAACCAATTATTGTGTGTGTGTGTGTGTGTGTGTGTGTGTGCGCGCACGCGTGCGCGCATGAATATGCGCGTGTAGGTTCTGAGGCTTATACTCAGGGCCTGGATGCTGTCGCTGAGCATTTTTACTCAAAGCTAACACTCTAGCACTTGAGCCACAGCTCTGCTTCCAGGTTTTTGGGGTGCTTAATTGGAGATAAAAATATCACAGATCTTTCTGTCCAGGCTGACTTCAGGCAACAATCCTCAGATCTCAGCCTCCTGAGTAGATAGAATTACAGGCCTGAGCCACTGGTACCCAGTTTAACATTTCATTTTTGATGAATTATGTCACACATTTTCAATGTGTGCATTGGTTACTTCTGGTTTTGCAGTTGTAAAATATCTTGTGTTTTTTTGTCTATTTAAAAATTGTCTTTGGATTAATGAACAATGTGTAGATTTTTTACAGATTATTGTTCATGTTTTGTTAGGTGAATTGTGAATATTTCTTATAATCTGAGACATACTTATTTTCTTAAATAAGCTTTTTGATGATGAGATATTTGAAATTGCAAGACTTATTTCTGTTTATTTTCTAATCATTGTTTTTTGTGTGTCTTTATAAAAATAATCTTTGTCTATGCTTATATTTTTGTATGTTTTATCACAATTTTTAGCTGTTATACCTAGTATATCTCAAATTAATTTTAGAATATGGTGTGACATAAAGGTTAGAATTAACCTTGGTTTTGTATATTAATACAATTGCTTTATGCCACTTGCTGAAAGTATTTATTAATAGTTCTTCATTGAATAGCCTTAAATTATTTTCATCAGTAATATAATGCTTGTATATAAGTCTATTATTGGACAATTTATACTATTCTATGAATCTCATGATCTACCTCTATACCAGAATCATAGTATGTTAACTTGTTTAACATCACAGAAGTCTTGAAAATAGTACAGGTTTTCCAACTATTGGTCTCACTTAAGATTGTTTGGTGTATTTATCCTTTATATTTCTATATAAGTTTTACAGTTAGAATATGGCTTAGTGGTAGAGTGCTTGCCTAGCTTGCACAAAGCCTGGTGTTTGATTCCTCAGCACCACATAAACAAAAAATGCTGTAATTAGAAATTTGG